ACTCCTGGGCTCAAGCGAGTCTCTTGCCTCCGCCTCCCAAGTAGCTGGGACCACAGGCGCCCACCACAACGCCCGGCTATTTTTTGGTTGCAGCCATCATTGTTTGGCGGGCCCGGGCTGGATTCGAACCTGCCACCTTAGGTGTATATGGCTGGCGCCTTAGCCACTTGAGCCACAGGCACTGAGCCAGACTATGCATTTTTAACAACCACTCTAGGGGTAAGTAAGGTGGACCAATTTTTAAGGAACACTAGACTATAGTTGGCATAAAATAGGTAGCAGAAAATAAAAGGATTTGCCTGAAGGGCTCTTCAAATTTCTTCTTGAGACTTAGTGTTTGGGAAACATTTAGACACAGTCTCTAGCACAAACTCTGCTATCTCTGCAAACAGATGTCTGAGGGAGTAAGAGAGTTTGGTGGCTTTAAAGGAAATTGAGGGGTCCAAAAGGAAAAGCCTTTAGGATGTTTTTTGGGTCTTATTAATTCTGAGCCAGATCCCTCACCTCCCCTAATATGAAAATAAATCCTAAGAGAATTTGTTAAAAGAAGTGCCAAATAATAATGGTAAGATGCTGGTCTAGCTACTCAGCAAGCCAGTTTTAGGTTCCAATCTATTACTACCCAGCCCCCTATGTTTTCACCTCAGGAATGAAAATCATAACATTGAACGTCAGCTTTTGTTTGGGCTCTGGAATATATTAAGCTGAGGAAGATGGTTCATTCCTAAAGCTTGGAGTCATGGAACAAAACACAAGATCAAGAGGCAGGAGGTTTGAGTGTGGGTTACTATGCAGTTCCTAACTAGCTGGTAACCTTGGGCAAAGCTCAGATCCCCCACCTAAACAGTGAATTAGATTGGTCTCATCCAATTCTAAAATTCAGAGTAAAACAATACCCCAAAATGCACACCAGACCACCAGTCTTCAATTCTCAAGGGACTCTTGGCCTTGGAGAAGAAAGAGCAAGTAGGAACCCCAGCCACACCACTTCCTCTGGCCCTCAGCAAATGACTTTACTCTCCACCCCCTTTCTGGATATGGAGTAGCATCATTATCTCACTACAACCACAAAATTTCAAACTTCTGGGTTCAAGTGATCCTCCTGCCTTGGTCTCCAAAGTACCTAGGACTATAGGCACAAGCTACTATGCCCAGTTATTTTTTTTTATTTTTTCTAGAGACAAGGTCTTGCTCTTGCTCAGATTGGTCTCAATCCTCCCTCCCTGGCGTCCCAGAAGCAAGGATTATAGGTATGAGGCACCATGCCCAGCCAACTTTACCCTTGAAAGCTTCTGTTTCTTTTCAGTGGAAGTGAAGATGATGAAATAACATAGCTTATACCCAAGCACTAATAAATGTGATGTTTTCTCTTTCATTTGGCAATTGAATCCCTCAACCAGAATGTTTGAAACTTACCCTCAGAAAGATTTTTGAATATCAGAAGTACTGACTATTCCTATTATTTTGGTCCTTAAAATATCAATTTCAACCATTTGTGACTAAAAGTCAATAGCTTAGAAGGAAAACAATTAAAAAACAACTTGCTGTTACCTTAAATGTGGCTAGCCATGCCTCCTCAAGGAGCAAAGTTTTAAAGAAAAGGAGAAAGGAGGAACAGTTTTCTCTCCAAGCTCAGTGAAAAGTTTAGCTCAATGGGCTGCTGAGAAAAAGAGGTAGCTCAATTCTTCTTCAAACATCATCAAAATGCAAAGCAATTAAGTGACAAGTGTTTGAGCTACACAAGTGATCATGACATGCTTGATATAGGAGTGTTAAGTCTTCTTCTCTCTTTGTATGATTATATTGAATTTAGAAATCTGTCCACCTACCAAGAAAAACTACAGTGATACGGCCCCAACTGTTATCACAGGGCTTGCCACACTCTCTAACCTGGCTTCTAAGACCCTCTGGGCCTGCCTCCATCCTACCTTCCCAGTCCTATGTACCAGTCTTCCCTTCTTGTCCTTTGCCCCTGTCCAAACTCCATCATGTTCTGAACAAGTCCTGCACCTTCTGCTTCTAAGCAATTTATTCACAAGCACAATGCCTGGTACACAATAGGTAGTGAATAAATATTTGTTGATCCAATAAAATAAATATCTGTTCCCTCTACTTGGAATGTTCTTTGTATCTTACTCCTCTTCTTCCTTTTGAAGTCTTTAGTCTTCAAAATCTAGCTCAAATATTACACTGCACTGAGGTTACCCCACATTAAAAAAAAAAAAACTCTTCTTCCTCTAACAGCATTGTACTTGTTTACATGTCTTGTGTCTCTTTTATATTTCTTATAATCTTAATTTCTTGGCTCTCCTACTGGAGCATCAATTCCTAGGGATACCTGGTCAGCCATCTTCATTGCTGTGTCCTCCACAGTGCCTAGCACACAGGAGGTACCTCCACATATGGGAGGAAGAAGAAAATGTTTGTCTTTGAGATTTCCACCACCCCCTTAACATGTTTAACTACAAAACAAACCTCTTCTTTTGCCAAGTGTGAGCATTCAGGGAGACAGAACACTTGTTACGGGTGAGAAGAGGCTGGTCCTGACAACAGGGATTCTTCTCCTCCTATCTAGAAAGTTGGTAGCAAAGAACAAGGATAGTGAGAAGGAGGAGTGGAGAGAGAGAGGGAGAGAGAAAAGTGGGCCTTAGGCTGGACCAGGACATAATGCTTTTTGAGGCACTGATGCTTTCAGAAATAGTAAGCAGGAAAGTGACATTTATTTACTTATTTATTTTTGAGACAGAGTCTCATTATATCACCCTCAGTAGAGTGCTGTAGCATCATAGCTCACAGCAACCTCAAAATCCTGGGCTTAAGTGATTCTCTTGCCTCAGCCTCCCAAGTAGCTGGGACTACAGGTACCTGCCACAACACCCAGCCATTTTTCAGTTGTAGCTGTCATTGTTGTTTGGCAGGCCTGGGCTGGGTTCAAACCAGCCAGCTCCGGTGTATGGGGCTGGCGCCCTAGCCACAGGAATTGTCAGACACAAGTAATTCATAAGGCACCAGGGGGGAAGTCACTGTTAGTGCCCTCACTTTACAGACAGAAGACAGACCATGGCCCTTCAGGATGATGGAGCACAGGCAAGGACAATAATTCCAAGAGGGAGATGAGGCCAGCATGGCACTTCGTCTCACCCTCCTCCTTCCTACCTCTGTCCCTGCAATGCTTTAACACCACACCATTCCCTACCAGACTATGAATGTGGCAGACATCATGAGAAAGCAAAGCTGGGAACTCCAAAGCTATTTGCTTTCCCTCTCACTATGGTCATCTATGTAGACTTAAGGTTTCAAATGGCTCAATGTACCTCTTGATGGGGCAACGTTCAGATCCCATGGGAACCTGGGAGTAGAGAGCTCCATAGTTCAGTCTAGATAACCTCACAGAGAAAACATTTCTTCTCTTTCTCCTCTGAGAACTTGGCTAGTTTCCAACATATGACCTTTAGGGGAAGGACTTCAGTTGACTAAATAATAAATGGGGAGATTTCGTACAGAAGCATCCCAGAGTACACAGCCAAGCAGGAATTTCTCTTGTAAAGGAGATGCCCAAGCAGAGAGCAAACTGAGAAAGCAAATGATGTCAACAGGCCTACAGCAGACATGTTACAGTGCCAACCCATTAGTCATAGGCCAAGGGAGAGAGGAAAGCAATGCAAAAGACAGGGCCACTTCAATGACTGCCCAAGTGAAGCACTACGGAGATAAGCAAATACAGCAGAGTCATCTGGCTGCCTGTGGCCTTCCCACTAGCATGACAGAGGTGGTGGCATGCTGGGAAGAACACAGAATAGTGTTTTGCCCTTGCTTTCACTAATTAGCTGTGTGACCTCAGATGGTTAACTTATAATTTAAATCTCATCATCTGTAAAAAAAAAAAAAAGGTCGATCTAGACGTCCCATTCTAACCCTGTGGGGAAATATGTACAGCCATTAAGATCAGCTCTGATACATAACACAGAAAACTCTACCTAAATCCAGGAAGTTGGACTAAGGGCAAATAAAAATACTGACCCACATGCCAATATAATATTTCTGATAGCTGCCCTCTACCACCAAATATAACTTATTTTAGCTCTGGATAGTTTTTTTAAAAACTCCAAAAAAAAAAAAAAATGAAAATTACTAAGTCATCACAAACCAATTTTTATTTTTTTTCTCTGCATACTCTTTCAGGTTTTCAAAGTCATTTTAAGAAAAAGACTGAATGGCTCAGCGCCTGTGGCTCAAGTGGCTAAGGCGCCAACCACATATACCTAAGGTGGCGGGTTCGAATCCCCAGCCCGGGCCC